TTTCTGTTATGACACTCTTATTGCGAAATATATCGTCAAAGATACTTGCTTGGTGCTTAACCCAATGTCATTTTAAGACAGTGTGAAGAAGACCTTTTAATTTTCAAAGGCTCTTGAATTTATCTCTGTTTTTAAGTTTTAAGTGGAACTATTGTTTTCCTATGCCTAATGATTTAATGGCCAGAATCTCATTGGTGTCACATACAAATATATGTTTCCTTACAAACACGGCTGCAGTTTTTTGTCCATCAGGTAACAGATGCATTCAGTTCATGTTTGTGTAGATCAGTAGTTCTCAACCTATGGGTGCCCAGGTGTTTTGGCCTACAACTCCCAGAAATTCCAGCCAGTTTACAAGGTGTTAGGATTTCTGCAAGTTGAAGGACAAAACATCTGGGGACCCACAGGTTGAGAACCACTGATGCAGATGGAGTTCCACAAAAATTAACATTTCATATGCAGCTACGTATTCTTGGGTGGTGTGCCAGCACTCTTTGTGAACTGATTCACTGGGATTGTGGAACCAGGTTTTGTGCAATCCATTTCAATTGCAGGATAAGCAACCATATTGGCAGACATGCCATCAATTGCGCAACACTGATATTCAGCAGATGGGTGGTGTAGCGCAACCATGAACTACATGAACATTGATTTCCACTACACAAGCATGATGCAGGCTCCCACTGGATTGGCCGCATTGTCCAAATCACTGTCTCCCAAAGCAGTTACTATGTTCCCAACTCAAGAATGGAAAATGGAAAGTTTATGGCCAGGAAAAGAGATTTAAAGATGGGATTAAAGCTAACCTTAAAAATGGTGGCATAGACACCAAAAACTGGGAAGCCCTGGCCCTTGAGCACTCTAGCTGGAGGTCAGCTGTGACTAGCAGTGCTGCAGAATTCGAACAGGCACAAATGGAGGGTGAAAGGGAGAAATGTGACAAGGGGAAGGTGAATGAAGCTAAACCTGACTAGGACCGCCTTCCACCTGGAAACTGAGGCCCTCACTGTGGAAGAACATATGGATCAAGAATAGAGCTCCACAGTCACCTACGTATCCACTGCCAAGACACTACATTCAGAAGGCCATCACACTCAGACAATGAGGGATCGCCTAAGTAAAAGTAAGTAATTACTGTATTTTTAATTTCCAATTATTTTTGTTGTAAGCTATGCTGGGATCAGTATTAGAGTGTATTACATAAATATTTTAAATTAGTAAAGAGCCCATCCAAGCTCAGCTATTACTATGGCTATATGCTCTCACTGGGGAAGGAGAATAATAGGATGTTCTTTCCTTTCAGCTACCTTTTTTGTTCAGTTGCTTATGCTGACCTTGAGTTAAAACCTTTAAAGATAAACAACAAAAACAACCTCAGCTCAATCTTTTTGTCTCTGGTCAAAAGATATGTCTAGCTATCTGTGTCACTCCACGTCTGATGGTGTGAAAAGAAAAACTCATTGACTTCAACTATCGATGTCATTCCACATCTGAGGCTGTGAAAAGACAAGCTCATCTACTTCAACCTTCCATGACTCATCCATACAGCCACTATTATGTGTCACAAGGAAGCACCTGTCTATTCTAAACATCTTCATGTAAAATTGCCATTTGATTGAATTTTTGTGTCTTCGTTTCCCATTCTGAAATACTTCTCCCATTTTAGAAATACCACACTCCAATTTTTTTTCCTTTGTCCTTGTCTATTCAGAGATGCTATTTCTTGCCGACAGAACCCAGGGTGGCAAGCTGTCTGTAAGCAAAGCTAATATGTGAGATATAACAAAGACTATATATGTTCCAATAACTAAAAGTTGCCAGTCTGTATTTTGATCTAGGTTAGGACAAACTTCCCATTTCTGTTCCTGGTGCGTCTACACCAGGAATGGGCAAACCCAAGCCTGAGGGTTGGATGTGGCCCCTTGGGCTCTTTTCTCAGGCCCTCCTCTCACCATCCTATCTTTCCTTCATTCTCTCTTTCCTTCCTCCTTCCCTCCCTCCCTTCCTTATTTCCCTCTTTCTCCTCCTTCCTTCCTTCCTTCCTTCCTTCCTTCCTTCCTTCCTTCCTTCCTTCCTTCCTTCCTTCCTTCCTTCCCTCCCTCCCTCCCTCCCTCCCTCCCTCCCTCTTGTTTTTTCTCCCTTCTCTCTTTCTTTCCTCACTCCCTCTCTTTCCTCCTTCTCTTTTTTCCTTCCTCCTTTCCTCCTTGGGGATGTTTATCTGGAGAAGAGAAGGTAGAGAAGGAACATGAAAACCATGCTTCAAGATTTCAAAGGGTGTCCCATTGAGGAGGAGGGAGGGAAGGAGGTAACTGACTTTCTGCTGCTCCAGAGACCAGGGCAATGCATTCAAATGGCAGGAAAAGAGATTCAACTGTAAAGATTAGGAAGAACTTTCTAGAGAGTGGCATAGCTTGCCTGGGAGTGTGGTGGAATGTCCTTCTCTGGAGGCTTTTCCACAGAGGCTGTTTGCAGGGAGTGCTTTGGTTGTGCCTTCTTGCATGGCAGGGGGTTGGACTGAGTGGCCCTTGGGGGTCTCTTCCAACTCTAGGATTCTAGAATTCTGTATCAGGAGTAGGCAATACGGGGTCTAATGGACATAATTTTTCTCTCCCATCCATCGTCTCATCCTGACCAAGGCCAAACCTTTTAGGATTCAAATGTTTCCTGTCTTTCCTTCACTTTCTGCCTCTAAAAGAGAAGAGGAAGGGGAGGAAAGGGCAGGGAGGGGACCTGGGAAGGACCCCCTCCCTCCCTCCCAGACCGCCCACCTCACTCCGGCCCACCATGTGACCCCCAAGTTAGAAAGTTTGTCCATGCCTGACCTATACTGTAGAGTTATAGCAATTTGACACCACTTTAACTGCCATGGCTCAATGTTTTGATATCATAAGAATTGCAGTTGCACAAGGTCTTTAGCCATCTCAGCCGAACTACAACTCCCAGGATTCCTTAGTATTGAGACATGGCTGTTAAAGTAGTGTCAAACTGCATTAATTCTAATGTTTACAGGTACCCTCCTGTCTCTACCTCAGAATCTTTTATACATATATTTTAATTGAAATTCTGATGTTGATTAAGTTTCTTTTTGCATAGTCCCTCGACTTGCATCAGTGTAAGTCTTAATTACCCATGTGTTCAAACTACGCTACAGATGCAGTGATGCCCAGGAGTAAAAACCACAAGAAACATCTGCTGCCATCCTACTTTTCAGCATGAATACACATCACAATATCTTTCAAAACTTGTTTGGAAACTCTTTCTGCTTATATTTTTATCCCCATGCTTCCTGGAAATCAAGCTAGAAACCCGTTTCCAGCATTTTCCCACCTTTTCCTCTTGTTATCTCAGCTGCAATCCACTTTCAGTATCTCTAACAAGGAGATGCACATGGTCTGGAAAAGATAAGCAGCATGGTAGGCCTCTTAAGAGGAGGAACGTTAACTGTCTCCTGGAATGTCTACCCTGGTCAATGTTCAGATACAAACCACCTGCTCTCCTGAAGCTGCTACTAGCAATAACAGGGAAAATACATACTGGCATGTATTAAAGTATAAGTCAACTGAAATTATGGATTGTGATGTGACCTCTGGATAAGTCCAAAGTCATTCTGTGAAGAGGGAATGCAACTAGTACTGCTATTTTAACATCCAGACCTTCAAAAAGACCAGAATTGTTGCTACAGCAGAGAAGACAGAGGAGATTAGGACTTCTTTTAGGTTCTCCTGTGGTGAACCCTTCCACACAGCTGCATAAAATCCACACTGAAGTGGATCACATGGCAATGTGAATTCAGATAACCCAGGTCAAAACAAATATTGTGGGATTTTCTGCCTTGATATTCTGGGTTAAATGGCTGTGTGGAAGGGCCCTAAGTGCTTACTTTTGTATTTGTTAATTTACTGTGGATGTATGATGCTTTAGATTTTTACTGTTAGCATTGAATCCTTCCTGTCAGCCGGTCTGAGTCCCTCTACGGAGGTAGAGAAGATCAGGATATAAAATTTTTTAAATAAATAATAATACTTTTCACCCACTCTGCTCTACTCAAGTTGGATTTACACTGCTCTATATCCCAGGATATGATCCCAGACCTGCTTATCCCAGATTAGGACTCAGATTAGGACTCAGACCTCTTCTACACTGCCATAGAATCCAGATTATTAAAGCAGATAATCCACATTATCTGCATTGATCTGGATTTCATGCCTCTACACTGCCAGATAATCCAGTTCAAAGCAGATAATATGGATTTTATATGGCAGTGTAGAAGGGGCCTCATATAATCCAGTTCAAAGCAGATAATCTGGGATCAGATCCTGCGATATAGGGCAGTGTAGATCCAGCTTCAAAGAATTGGATGGTTCGTTTCTTTTTAATGAGAGTGAAGGTTTAGTATTTGCCTTGACCTGTAGATAAAGTGACCCAGGTTTTTTTAGGTTGATTGATTGATTTAAATTCCTAGTTTTATACATGACTATATACACTATTTAGGAGAAAATACCATTTATTTCCTTAGTCTCTTGTAGTTTGGTCTTCAGAGGGTTTGCCAGTTAAAATTAGGAGAGATAGCAAAAGTTATTTTTTTGGAATCCCCTTGTCAATATAGTCAGTGTTGGTCATGTTGAAGGGTTATGGGCATTACAATCCAAAAATGTAACTTTTCCAAGTGTTCCTTCTGACAGTATATATATATATATATAAAGTAATCATAACTCTGCCCCATCATTATTATAGAGACAATTGTAAGCACAGGGCATTTTCCAGCCCACACTCCTAACAATGGAAACAGCGACATTTACACTTTTATACAACATGCAGCTTTTTGTCTACTTTAATGTGGCTGCATTGTCTGAATTTTCAGACACGATGTTCCTGATTTGCAATGATATTAACACAGTCATTTTTAAAGCTAAGAAAATGTGTGATTTTAGTTAAGTATTTCTCCAGGATTTATGGACCATTTAATTCCAATTCCTCTTTGAAAACAAAAAGAACAGTACCTGCAATAGATTACATTTCTCAGACAATAATTTCCGTTGAGCATCTAAAGAAACTAGATGATTTTGATACAGCGTTTCTTGTTTATCCCACTCCCTTGATTTTGCTCTGAATTCCTGCAGGGAAAAAGCAGAAGGAAATCACATTACAGACTGTCTACATTCTCCTTATACACCTTGAGAAAAGAATGAATGCTGCAATTTTAAATATAAAACCCCTTTTGGCAATTAACAACAAATCTGGAGTAGATAGGCTGGTAAGAAAGAGTAATCATATCATACCAAGCTGAGATCTTGAAAAAAATCTACTGATTCGGTTGGTGAATATACAGGTATTTAATTAAAATCCTAGGGAACACACAATATTCTTGAATTACATATTATTATCGATTTATACAATACTTTGTTTTTGTGTGCCTTCAAGTTGTTCCCAGGCAATGATGACTCTAAGACTGGATCTATGCTGTCACAGAATGCTGATTATCAAAGCCAATAATCTATATTATCTGGTTTGAATTGGATTAAATGAATCTACACTGCCATAGAATCCAGTTCAAAGCAGATAATCTGGATTTTATTTTGTTGGAAATGGCAGCCTTCCAAGCCTTCACTATTTGTTTGTTAATGTATATATTTGCTAATCTGTATTGTATGTATATATTGATTTGCCAGTTTGACTGACTCTTTGGTGTGGGAGGGGCTCCAGACATGTGATTGTACTGAGCATGTTCAGACTCAAGACTCCATTTTTGTTATCAGTATGCTTCTGGACTTCAATGTTAGCAGTTTGCTTTAGACCTCAGTGGAGGTGGATGCAGTATGCTTTTGGACTTCAATGTTAGCAGTTTGCATTTTGGACTTATGCAGGAACAGTCAGGAACACAAGTGAGGCTGGTGGGGACGAGGAGCAGGGCTTTCTCAGTGGTGGCCCCTCACCTGTGGAACTCACTCCCGGGGGAAATCAGGGCATCATCATCCCTCCTCGCCTTTAGGAGAAGGGTGAAGACTTGGTTATGGGACCAGGCCTTTGGGCACTCCGGCAATTAAATCAGACAACCAGACGAGTAAGACCAGCAGGATTGATGAAGTGGAACGTAAAACTAGATCTATGAGTAGCGAACGCTGACCATGTAAGAGGAGAAATTGGGTTTGTATTTGGTTTTATTGATTTTATTGATTTTATGGTTATAATGCATATTTGTTGTTAACTGTGTATTGATGTAATTTTGTGTATGATTGTTTTTATGATGCAGGCATCAAATTGTGCCTTTGCTTTTGTAAGCCGCCCTGAGTCCCCTTCGGGGTGAGAAGGGCGGGGTAAAAGAACCCCAAATAAATAAATAAATAAATAAAAGAATCATAGAGTTGGAAGAGACCCCATGAGCCATCCAGTCCAACCCACTGCCAAGAAGCATATTGTATTCAAAGCACCCCTGACAGATGGCCATCCAGCCTCTGTTTAAAAGCCTTCAAAGAAGGAGCCTCCACCACACTTCGGGGCAGAGAGTTCCACTGCTGAACAGCTCTCACAGTCAGGAAGTTCTTCCTAATGTTCAGATGGAATCTTCTTTCTTGTAGTTTGAAGCCATTGTTCCATGTCCTAGTCTCCAGGGAAGTTTACTATATGTTTGCTTTGAGAAGCAGTGTGTACAATTATACAGTTTGGACTTCCATAAGATCTATACTTAAAGACTTTGGACTATTGATTAAGAATGATACCCTGTGTTTTCAACACAGAGAAACTACATCCTATCTGTTGAACTTTAATATGAAATGTGCCTGTATGCTGAATTAATACAAGATGTTTCTGAATAAACAAGATATGTTACTTTTTCAAGAAGACTTTGTTTTTTTTATCTCTGAGTGCATATTTTAAACTAAGAGGTTTCAAGGGAGAGTATTATGTTTTGGGCAACTGCAACTTCAACTTCAAAGAAACATTTTAAAACTCTGCTAGCAAAATATATGTTTTTTTTTTTGTCCAGTGGTATGTCTTCGTCCCTGGCAGTTCAAGGCATGGTTTATCAGTTTAACAACTGATTTACCATGTGCAATCCTATGTAAAACCAACTGGATTTACACTGCTCTACATCCCAGGATATGATCCCAGATTATTTGATTATCCCATATTATCTGGCAGTGTAGATTTACATAATCTACTTCAAAGCAGGGGTCAGATCCTGAGTTATAAGGCCATATAGATTCAGCCTTAGATTGTTGCTTGGATTCAGCTTTGGTACTGGCCTTTATCCAAGCCCATATCCAAATCACAACCCTAAGATGAACCTGAATATCATCGTAACATATTTGCCTTTTCAAATTGCTACAAATAATCCCTAAAACAGACAGTAGGTGTTCATGGGTGAAATTGATTATTTAGATCCATTTCAGTCTTGCTTAAAGCCTGGCAATGGGACAGAAACAGCTTTGGTCGCATTGGTGGATGGATGACCTAAAGCAGGGAAGTTGATACATGGAGTGTGTCCCTGTTGGCTCTGCTAGACCTCTCAGTGGCTTTTGATACCATCAAGCATGGTATTCTTCTGGGTTGCCTCCCTGAGATAGGACTCAGCCATGGAAACCCACACACTCTCAGGCCAGAAAATCCTGTGATAGGGGCTCACTGTGGTTGCCTTTGGAAATAACTTGAAGGCACATCACAACAACAAAGACAAACTGGCTGGGCAGGCCTCCATGATCACAGAGTTCTAAGTATGTGTGTGTGTGAGCAGCAGACGTAAGAAACACCTGGCTGTTGGGGTCATATTGTATATCTTGAATTAGAAGTCTGCTCCCACAAGGTCTCCTTGGATGATTTCAGAGTGTGGGAAAAGACACTGCTTCTGATAGATATACTTACTTCCAATTTCTGGTTTAAACTGCTCATTTGGAAAGGTACATCTTCATTTTCCTTATATGTCTCCACATCATGAGCTTTATTTTGTTTTACCTGGTGCAGCTGCAACTTTTCATAGCTCTGTGTCAGCTTGGAAAACTGAAAATTAAATGAACGTCAAGAAGATAATCTCATTTCTAACTGAGCACTAAAGGCATAATTGGCAAAAGCAGTTAAGGTTATATATTCTAATTAGACCATCTCTGTTAAAAATGTACCAGTTATTACAACTAAGCGGTTAAGGGATGGACAGGGCTAAACTTTCATATAGCTCGTGGTGTTAATTAACTGCGCTGTTAAACACAGATTGACTTTAGAATTGTTTTGTGCTGCTGTTCTTGCCCAATGTTTGTACAGATAGTTTTGCATTTGTTTAGTGCCATCTTGTGTTGACAGCTTTAATGGTTTCTCTGAAGGAAAGATGGGCTAGTTGTCCTAATTTGGTAAGAGGTTAGTATCATTAATAAGTTCAGCAAAGATCATCTTGGAGGTGGGTGAGATGATTTTTGCCAAGAACATAGCATGGTAGCAGCAGGTTAACTCAACTTGCTGAATGCTGTGGTTTCACTTCTGAACAGCACTCTCATGGAACTGCTGTTTAAGACAATGAGCAGGAAAATAAATGTAATTATGCACTTAATACACACCTATTATTATTATTATTATTATTATTATTATTATTATTATTACTCTTTATTCAGCTTTTCTCCCATGGGTGGGATTCAAAGTGGCATACACTGGTTAAAAGCAGCAAAAATTACATAACATAAAAATTCAACAAAAAACATCATTCAACCAAATAAACATAAACCATATATAACAAATTAATAAATTAAGACATTATGCTACTAAAAATTCCCTGACCCTCAGGCCACTGAGGTTATCCATTATAACAGTTATACTAGGGTCCTAAAAACTCAATTTCCTTTAGGCCGTGTAAAAGCATTGCCAGGTCCAAAACAGCATTTTGTAAATTACCAGTAACTGTCTGGCCATTGCCTATTATTGATCTTCAGGAAAGGCCTGGTTCCACAAAAAGGCTTTAATTTGCAAACGAAAGGCCAGCAAGGAGGGGACTGATCAAATCTCTTTAGGAGGGGAGTTCCAGAGCCGTGGAGTCACCACCAAAAAGGCCCTCTCTCTCGTTCCCACCAACTGCACTTGTGTCGGTGGTGGGACCGAGAGAAGACTTCTCCTGATGATCTAAGGCAGTAGATTTCAACCTGTGGGTCTCCAGATGTTTTGGCTGTCAACTTCCAGAAATCCTAACAACTGGTAAACTGGCTGGGATTTCTTGGAGTTGTAGGACAAACCACCTGGAGACCCACAGGTTGAAAACCACTGATCTAAGGAATCGTTCGGGCTCTTAGGAGGAGATGTGGTCCCTCAAGTAGGCTGGGCCCAAACTCAAACTATGAAGATTAAGAACAGAATTCATGTTAAATACTAATGATGTGGCCTAAATACTCTAAATACTCATCTAATCTTGGAACCTAAGCAGGACCAGCTTGGGTTTGTACTTGAATGGAAGATCGCCAATGAAAACTGGGTGCTGTAGGCTATATTTCAAAGGAAGAAACTGACAAAATCACAAAACCCCTACTGAGTTCCATGGGGGTCACCATAAGTCAACTTGAAGACATACACTATAATGGTAACTTGGTGACATATTTGATGTTAATGAAAAAGCTGATTTCAGTGTCATGCATCAGCAAGTGGTATCTATTGTAACTTGCAGCAAAATCAGACTACTTGATACTGTTGGAAGGGACTGCAAGAAAAGTTACAATGAGGTAGGGCTGGCTGAAACAAATATCAACTGGTTGGTGCTTTTCAAATAACATGTGCTGGCTTTGGCCTATAAAGCCCTAAATGGTTCTGGTCTAACTTATCTGTCCGAACGTCTCTCCCCTTATAAGACAACAACAGCTTTAAGATCTGCTGGGGAGGCCCTGCTCTTGGTCCTACCCTCTTTGTAAGTGCAATTGGTGGGGATGAGAGACAGGGCCTTCTCAGTGGTGGCCCTTGGATGTGGATTGTTGGGGTACATTTTATTGTTATGTTTATATGCAGCACTGAATATTTGTCAGAATCTGTAAGCCACCTTGAGTTCCCTTTGGGGTGAGAAAGACGAGGTATAAGTGAAATAAAATAAGTAAATACACATGTTTGTATCTGGAACCAGTAGTCGCAACTTTGGGAGCCTTTATCTTCCCTTCTTCTCCAAGGGAAAAGAAAACAAACAGCCACCCCAGCTCTCCTTTGCCCATTCCTGTGCTACATTCACATTGGAGGGTTAAGGCCCTAGATGACAGCGAAAGTTGGGAGGAGGGACGAGGAGACCTGAGGGCAACGTGAGGGCACTAACTGTAGAGCCCTTGCTCTGCAGAGAGCAGAGACGTACCTCTCTCAAGCACTGCCTTTGAGCCCAACTCTTTTCCAGCCTATGCCAAGAGGGAAGGAATGAAGGTGGGAAATGGGGGAAGGAAGAAAGAAGGGAGAGAAGAAGGGAGGGAAGGAAAGAGGAAGGAAGAACGGAAGCAGAGAAGAAAGGAAGGAAAGAAAGGTAGAGAAGGAAGGATAAAAGGAAAGAAAAAGAGAAGGAGGGAAAGAAATAGAGAGGGAAGGAAGGAGAGAAAGAAAGAAAGAAAAATAAAGAAAGAGGGAAGGCTGGCCACAGCAACACGTGGCGGGTACAGCTAGTAAATAAATAAATGGAATTTAATGTTTTTAAAAGTTTAATCTGTTTGATTTTAATCTAATCTATTTTTTTTAATTGTATGTGTTTTAAGGCACTGAATAATTGCCTCTATCTAAGCCGCCTTGAGACCCTTTCGGGGTAGAGAAAGGTGGAATATAAATAGAGTAAATATTTTTTTTATTCTTCCCTCCTTTTGCATCTATATCTCAGTCTTTCTCCTGGGAGCTCAGGGCAGCATTCAGTGGTTCCTTTCCCACATTTTGCTCTCACAGAAGCTTGTGTGGTAGGTTAGTTTAAGAGAGAATGTCTGATCCAGCGGGGATTATAGCTCCTCTGTGCAAAAGTTCCTACGCAGGGTCTGAGAGAGATCTCGTCCCAGTTAATGTCTTTTGACAGCAGTGGATCCCTCCGGCTGGTATGTTCTGAACTCTCACCGTGAAACTTTGAAAAATTCAGAAAGTAAGAAAAGAACAGAACATCTTGTGCCAGGAAAGTAGACATTTTTTACCCAGTTGTTTCCCACTCCTGTAGATCATTTGTATTGCCAATTTGTGGCTTGGATCGTGATTTCACAAACTACAAAGCACTCATGCACATCAGGGGCTTTCTTTCTTTTATGGGAGCTTGTTGTCCAGCTGCTACAATTAGGAGCTAGCTTCAAACTGCATTAAATGGTCAGTGTAGACTGGGCCTGAATTCAAACAAAGAATAACATGAATAAAATCTGTATTTTTTTCTTACTTGAGTTTTCAGGGCTTGAAGCTGTGAATCATAGTTCTCAACGATTTCATATTTTGACTTTTGCAAGCTGTCCAGCTTCTGCCTTAGGACCCCAACCTGTGTTTGTAATAAGATATCGTTTTGAGTCCCATGAGTAAACAAGCAAAGAGATATCACTGCTAAGCTACAATAAACAACACATTTTCAAAATGAATATTTAGATCTATACGAGAGAAGCTGACAAACTTTTACCATTTGTACACTGAGACAGCTAAATCCATATAAGCACTTGGATTTATTTAAGCCCTTGTGTGGTATGGTTTTGGACTCACTCAAAAACTAAATGATTAAATTGAGGCTATTGAGAAAACATGCCTCACTGAAAAGACAATTTATGCTGGGAAAAGGTGAAGGCAGTAACTGAAGAGGAAGACTGCATTACAGATGGATTGGTTCAGTAAAAGAAGCCATGGCCCTGAGCAGGGCGGTTAATAACAAGATTGTTTGGAGGTCTTTTATTCATAGGACCATCTTAAGTCGAAACTACTTAAATGGCTTATTCTAACAGCAAAAAAATTGTGAAGGTGCTCAGGTGTATGTTGCCTGGCTATAATTCTGTGCCATTTGGCAAGCATTCAAAAATATCAGTTTTTCCAGCCTTTGTGTAGCAGAGAGCAAGGAGAAAGGGCAAGCAGTGTTAGGTGGAACTTTAGAAATCAGAAGAGGGTTGCAAATGCAGCTGGCGGGGACAAGGAGCAAGGCCTTCTTGGCTGTGGCCCCCCGCCTATGGAACACACTCCCAAGGGGGTAAGATCTGCTCCCTTGCTCCTGACCTTTAGAAAAAAAATTAAAATCATGCTTCTGGGACCAGGCCTTCGGACAATAGATGTATGCAGCTTTTAGTGGGACAAGAACTGGAACGGCGACTCGACTGATGAGATTGTTTTATGGTTTTAATAACTGTTTTGATATTTGATGATGTACTGTTTTTAATATGATTTATGTTTAAAGTGTGGTTTTACTATTGTAGTTGTAAGGCATTGAATTTTTGCCATTATCCATGTGTAAACCGCTTTGAGTCCCCCTAGGGGTGAGAAAAGTGGTATATAAATGCTGCAAATAAATAAATAAATAATAAATATGACTTGTAGGATATTATATTTTAGTACACATTCAGCATGAACACTAAACTTATTCTATCCTCTTCCTAAAGCGGTTAACAGACCTACCGCTTTGAGTCCCTCTAGGGGTGAGAAAAGCGGTATATAAATGCTGTAAATAAATTAAATAATTAATAAATACCCCCATCACCTGTAATCTAGCCAAGGTTCATAAGCTATCGTAAACCCGGGAGCGAAGACTGGAGACCTTGGTATACTCCTTCTATACCCGGGACATGGTCCTCTTCCACTGAGTGTGCAGCTTCGGGAGGGACACACATGGAGCGGTGAGGGAGGAAGGGGACACCCGCCTAGCCAGCCAGATCAGCCGAATCAATCCTGGCGATCAGTGGGGTGACAGATGTCACAGCCAGATCGCCCTCATATCCTCAAGATTCATAGGCATTGGAAACAGCCTTCCAAGTATGCACTTCTAGCAATATCTGGGAGTTGTGATTGCAAATGAGTGTCACATATGCATTTCCCTTGCTTGAGTCAACTGTCAAAGCAGAATACACCTCTGAAATCATGGATAGAAAGCCTATGTCCTGCCCAGCTGTTGTCACACTTCCATTTTGTCAGACCCACTGACTCTCTGGAAGGCTACAGGTTTCCCAATCCTACCAGAAAACAAACATAAAGGGGGGGATTTCATTTCCATCTGTCTCCCTTTCATTCCAAAAAGCTTTTTTTAGTGTCAGAAGCAACTTGAGAGACTGTAAGTCACCTCTGGTGTGAGAGAATTGCCCAGGGGACGCCCAGATGTTTTACCATCCTGTGGGAGGCTTCGCTCATGTCCCCGCATGGGAAGTTGGAGCTGACAGACTGGAGCTCACCCCACCTCGCAGATTCGAACCACTGACCTTCAGGTCAGCAGTTCAGCCAACACAAGGGTTTAACCCATTGCATCATCATGGTTCCTACCAAACAGCTCATCAGCAGGAATTCACTTTTACAAAAAGAAAGTCTGTGCAACCCTGCCTGCCCTTCTTTATCATAGAATCAATGAGTTAGAAGAGACTTCATGGGCTATCCAGTCCAACCCCCTGCCAAGAAGCAGAAATATTGCATTCAAATCACCCCTGACAGATGGCCATCCAGCCTCTGTTTAAAAGCTTCCAAAGAAGGAGCCTCCACCACACTCCAGGGCAGAGAGTTCCACTGCTGAACAGCTCTCAGAGTCAGGAAGTTCTTCCTCATGTTCAGATGGAATCTCCTTTCTTGTAGTTTGAAGCCATTGTTCCGCGTCCTAGTCTCCAGGAAAGCAGAAAACAAGCTTGCTCCCTCCTCCCTGTGGCTTCCTCTCACATATTTATTATACATGGCTATCATATCTCCTCTCAGCCTTCTCTTCTTCAGGCTAAACATGCCCAGCTCCTTAAGCCGCTCCTCATAGGGCTTGTTCTGCAGACCCTTGATCATTTCAGTCGCCCTCCTCTGAACACATTCCAGCTTGTCAATATCTCTCTTGAATTGTGGGGCCCAGAATTGGACACAATATTCCAGGTGTGGTCTAACCAAAGCGGAATAGAGCATGGGGAGCATGACTTCCCTAGATATAGACACTATGCTCCTATTGATGCAGGCCAAAATCCCATTGGCTTTTTTTGCCGCCACATCACATTGTTGGCTCATGTTTAACTTGTTATCCACGAGGACTCCAAGATATTTTTCACACGTACTGCTCTTGAGCCAGGCATTGTCCCCCATTCTGTATCTTTGAATTTCGTATGCATTTCGTTATGAGCATAGGAGGGCAAGAAGAGAAGGAAAAATGGGTCTTGGCTGTCTACATATATAGACAGGCAAAATCTATTTTTGGTTGTATGTGCCACATGCACGCATGTGTGCATAAATATAAAAACATCAAGTAATGTCAGTCTATCTGTCCATCTGTTTGTTTGTACCACAAAGGCTGTTGCTAGATGAAGTGGCCCTCTGTAATTCACTGGATTGGCTGTTGCTAGGTGAAGTGGTCCTCTGTGATGTCACTGGGAAAGAAAGGTGATGCATATGAGGGAAAGGGAGGAAGGAAGGAGCCACAAAGAGCCATGTTGCTATGGAGAAATTGCGAAGTAGGACCTTTCAGTGCTGGAAAAAGGAAAGAAAGAGAGAGAAAGAAGAGGAAGGAAGGAAGGAAGGAAGGAAGGAAGTGAGAGGGCAAGAAAAAAGTAGGGAAGGAAGGAAAGAAAAAAAAATGTATAAGAGGAGGGAAAGAGAAGGGATGAAATCAAGGGGGTAGTGGCCCCTCTGACACTCAGGCAACAACAAATATATATGCCAGTATATGTGCGTTTGTGTATGTGTATGTGTATATGGAGATAATGTGTGTGCATGTATGTATGTATAGAGAGAGAGACACTCAGAGAGAGTGTCGCTCTCTGAGTGTAATTTGGAAACAAATAATAAAACATTTTTTCATTTATTCTATGTGCTTTATTTGGTGCAGATGATATACTACTTTATTCATGAACAATCATCTGAATTTGTAGTCTTCTTGCTAGGCAGGGAACATTATTTCATTATCTGCAGTGGAACTGTGAAATTTTTACTGCCTCTTGATGATAAATGTTTTCTCTCTCTTTTTTTTGTATAAAATTTTCTACATTTGATTAAGGCTGAAGTCATTAAATTTCTAATTCTGAGGCTGTCTGGCTATACTTAAAAAGACTGCTTTGTAATAAGTGGTTTTGGGGGTTTTTTTTTGCTTTGTGTTCCTGAAGGCATATAATGATAGATTGACTAGGCAGAAGGGTACAACTAAAATGATATGAAAGATAAGAGGGCTTGCAGGCTAGTGTATGTTTTTATGTGACTATAAAAATACCATGAAATTTAATTGTAGCAAAAATTGTAGGGTTTTGTGGGAAGATTTTTTTTTTGTCAAGGCTAGAGGAAAAAAGACACTCATTTTTAGAACATAATCCTGATAAGAGCTCCAGCTATTATTTGCAATCATAAATGTTAATGAAACTTGAAGTGATACTGTTAGCATTGCAAGTAGCTTGGTCGCAATGAGTGATCTGGGAAACGTTCCACACTTTTTGGAACTGCATTCACGCCAGTTGGGGACATTTGGAAATTGTACTACAAAACAATGTGTGCCTATGAAGTTCCGACCCCGAGCTGACAGATACAGTCACAAGCTATGTGCCAATCAAATCCTTATATAATTTATAGCTCATGTTATCGTGTCAGAAGTGAATTGAGAATACAGTTATAATGTATAGAAAAACTAAAAAAAAGTTAAAAACTTGGCATTATACTAAATTTCATTTGACCAGAAATTGGCCACTTTGAGTGCCTCTGGTGTCACTGTAAGAAGGCCCTTCACTGTGCATGCAGCTCATGCTGCATTGCAGTAAGTGGTCTGTGGTTTGCTGTTCTCCACACTCACATGTCGTGGACTCCACTTTGTAGCCCCATTTCTTAAGGTTAGCTTTGCATCTTGTGGTGCCAGAGTGCAGTTTGTTCAGTACCTTCCAAGTTACCCAGTCTTCTGTGCCCAGTGGGGGGTGGTCTCATCTGGTATCAACCACTGATTGAGGTTCCAGGTTTTAGCCTACCACTTTTGGACTCTTGCTTGCTGAGGTGTTCCTGCAAGTATCTCTGTAGATCTTAAGAAGCTGTTTCTTCATTTAAGTCGTTGGCATGCTGGCTGATATCCCAACAGAAGATGGGCCAGAGATGTCAATGCCTTGGTCCTTTCATTATTTATTTATTTATTTATTTATTTATTTACGACATTTATATGCCGCCCTTCTCACCCTGAAGGGGACTCATTACAGGCTGCTATTTCCCAACAGGTGCAATACCGGTTAAACAGTATAATTTCTCCAGTGGTGTAGGGTGTAGACATCCTGTGATAATGTGGTATGTCTCATTAGAGCCACATCTAAGGTTTTAACATGGTGGGATGTATTCCACACTGGGCATGCATATTCAGCAGCAGAGTAGCAAAGCACAAGGGCATATGTCTTCACTGTGTCTGGTTGTGATCCCCAAGTTGTGCCAGTCAGCTTTCGTATGATATTATTTCTAGCAATATTTGTTTGATATTCAGACAGTGCTTCTTATAAGTCAGAGCATGGTCCAGGGTAACTCCCAGGTATTTTGGTGTGCTGCAATGCTCCAATGGGATTGCTTCCCAGGTAATTCTCAGAGCTTGAGATGCTTATCTGTTCTTAATATGAAAAGCACACGTCTGCATTTTAGATGGATTAGGAATCAGCTGGTTTTACTTTGCATAAATATGTAGTATAAAACAGCAGATGTTTAGAGAATTTTCAGAAATCGCTGGGAATAGATGCTGCATATTACTTCATAAATGCAATAAAATCAATATATACACAACAAACAGCCAAAATAACAATAAATGGACAGCAATCAAGCAATATTTTGATACACAAAGGTACAAGACAGGGGTGTCCCCTATCCCCGTTATTGTCCATCTTAGCCTTCGAAATATTACTTAACAACTTGAGAAGAAATAAATGATAGGATTAAAAACAAAGAAACAGACCTACAAGGTCCACGCATTCACGGACGATATATGGACCTGCTAACACAAAAATTAACCTTTTATTTCCTTTTTTTGTTTCTTTTCTTTTCTTCCCATTTCCTTTCAATCTCTCACTCCCCAATTCCCGTCTCCTTTCTTTCCTACTTTTCCTTCTTATATTGTTCCCACACTTTCGATGTATATCTACAATGATTTTATAAGCTTTTCTCACGCTCCTATCTTTCAGAGTCAATTTATTTTCAATAAAAATAAGTTGAAAAAAAAAAGAAATAGCTGAAAACCAAAATTCATTTACAGTAAAAAAAATTTAGGTAACTCCAGTTTTAAACCTGTATGGAATCATAACTTAAACAAATTTTTGAACTTCAATTCAGATGACTGTCATTTTTTTCAAATGAATATGTTTTATGAACCCAAGGTAAATTTTTAGAATCAAAATTGGAATAGAATTATTCCTTAAACTGAAAAGATGGCCAGCCATCATACTCCCCTTTGGAAGGCAGGCTATTTTCCCCCTTTTTATGAAGTACAACTGAAACATTTTCTGCAGAGTTCACTGTAAATGCTGCAGGTTATTGATAACAATTTTGTGTAAATGTCTAATACAGCTACTATGTAGCATTCAGAAACCTTTTACTGTTGCCAATTTTTTTGCAACCTCTCATTTTCAGCAATGTTGACTCTGTTTGGAGTTGTGATTCACAATTTAAGAAGCTTTGATCTAATGTGTTGTCAAAGGCCTTCATGGCCAGAATCACTGGGTTGCTGTGAGTTTTCCGGGCTATAGACATGTTCTCCTGACGTTTCGCCCACATCTATGGCAGGCATCCTCAGAGGTTGAGGGGTCTGTTGGAAACTAGGCAAGTGAGATTTATATATCTAAGGAATATCCAGGGTGGAAGAAAGAACTCTTGTCTGCTTGAGGCAAGTGTGAATGTTGCAATTGGCCATCTCGATTAGCATGAAATTCAACCCACAGCAATCCTTTCTGAAAGAAGAAAGGACAAGCCATTCTTTTCCTCTATAAATTTGAAATATTTTGCTGGTTTTCTTTATCAAGTTCTGCTGTTTTAAACAGATTCTGCCAGAGTGGAAGACCTGCAAGGGTTCAGCAGGTGGGTCAGCTGGAGATGACTCCATCTCAAGAGAGAGAAAAGAAGCAGCCAAAGCTTTTGAACCAAAAAGAACGGATATTCCATGTGATGTCAGATCTTCTGCAGAACAGAACCAGAAACGTGAGCTCGGTTTCAAAGATATATCCAAAGGCAATATATACCTGTAAAGATTGTGCTGGTACTCAGCTCTCTCCAAAAATCAGATTTTTAAGCTCTCAGAGAAGAAGAAGGAAAAGACTGGACAACAAGGTCTTGCTCTCTACCAAAGTGTGTGGCATTTATAAAAAATATTTAATATGGAAGCATTTTTTACTTTTTATGACACATACCCAGAAGAGGAACAATGAAGATTCATTGTATCTTGTTTTGAGGGCTCATCTAATGGGCAGATAAGTTGGGGAAAATGTTGTGAATTGGTTAAAAAGAAATGTGAGCCCAATTGTGTACTGTAAAATTTATGAATATTGGCTACTGTTATTATTTTTGATAATGTTTTTTAAAAGTAACTAGCATACATAATTGGCATTGCTCAGGTGTCAGGGGGGCTGCCACCCGCCTGCTTTCTTTTTTCACCCACTCTGAGAAGGCCTACCTCACAATCTCTCTATGTAGTTCTTTCTTTCCTTCCTCCATTTCCCCCATACACCTTCTCCCTATCTCTTTTCTTCCTTTCTTTCCCTCTTTCCTTGCTCTCTCTGATGTATTCTCTCCCACTTCTTTCTTTCCTTCCTCTCCCTTCCTTCTTTTCTCTTTCTCCTTTTTCTTTCTTCCTTATTCCTCTCTTATTTGTTCCTTCCTTCCTTTCTCCTTCTATTTCTTTCCTCCCCTCATACTCTCTCATTTCCTTTCTCTTTCTTTCACTCTCTTTTCTTTCTCCGTTCTTCCTTCCTCTAATATACATGTCACCTAGCAATAGCCAATCTGCTTCACTTCCTGTTTTCCAGTCACATGACAGAAGGCCACTTCACCTAGCCAAAACCAATCCACTTAGTTTTTTCCCCCTATCTGCTCTGCGTTTGAAACAGGTGGTTTTTTAGTTCAAACCCCTCAATTATTTTAAGTTGGATAATGAAGGGAATGTGTTGTTGTAGGTTTTTTGGGGCTATATGGCCATGTTCTAGAGGCATTCTCTCCTGACGTTCCGCCTGCATCTATGGCAAGCATTCTCAGAGGTAGTGAGGTCTGAATGTGTGCCAAGTTTAGTCCAGATTCATCAAGACATGTAGGAGCGTTTGCGGTACAAACCAGCCAACCAAAATTTGAACATATGTTGATGTTTATATATGGAGAAAGCAAATAGCATATCACTATGACATCAGAATTCATACATATTTCTTAGGGAAGACATTTCACCCAAACGTTATACCATACCTCTTGACCTTTCTGTTCTAACTTGCTTTGGGCACTTGCTAATTCTTGATCCCGGACTGTCATTTTTTCTTCTAAGGCTTGCATCTTCTTTTCCCATTCTAGTTTCTTGTTGTAAACCATTATGTCAATTTGTTGCATCAGTTCTTGAAGTTCGGCATCATGAGGGACTGATCTAAAGACAAATTTATTCATTTTTTTTCAAAAAAGAATATATATAGAAAAAAGAAACATATTTTTATCCAAGTATTATAGGACTCCCCCCCTCCCTCCCACCAGTTGTTTATCTTTGATTTTAGAATAAAAATCAAAGATAATGGCTCTTCAAGATGTGGCAAATGCATTTGGAGGTTATGGTATTTGTTAATACAGTTCTCACACAAATTAAATTTCAGTCACTCTGGACGAACTTCTGGCAATTTCTAGCATCAGCTGCCATTGTATTCCAACTTTTGCGTGGTTTTCCTTTTTAATTGTGAGACATATCTGAGATTTACTCTGCGTATGTATTCATCCCTTCTCCTTTACTCTTTTCTTAATGAGAAAGATAGTGCATCAGTTAAGTGTTACTTTTGTATTGCAACTGTACACCTTTAAAATACTGCAACTGTACGTCTATCTGTCTGTCTGTCTGTCTGTCTGTCTGTCTATCTATCTATCTATCTATCTATCTATCTATCTATCAGAGAAGACCACCTCAGAAAACCATACCTTGTTTTTTTTTAATCTTTAGAAAAAGAATTGGATGCAGATCCAGAAAATCACAGGTGTATCTGTGTATTTGAATCCAACTATGGTTTCTTTGGGGAATTTTGAATGAGGTCCTTAAACCATGTATTTGAGGTTTGTGTGTTAATGCTGGCTTGTCTAAGCAGTAGTTGATCATTATGTCAGTATCCTGGCTTTCTACGAACATGCATCTACATCACAGAATTAATGAAGTTTGAATACCCCTTTAACTGACACGGCTCAATACTTTATGCAACAGACAGCTTTGGTCCCCTTGGAGCAGGGGCCCACAAACTTTTTAAACAGAGGGCCGGGTCACAGTTCCTCAAACTGTTGGAGGGCCGGATTATATATTTTTTAAAAATGAATGAATTCCTATGCATACCACATATCTTATTTGTAGTGCAAAAATCACTTTAAAACAATACAATAATTAAAATGAAGAACAATTTTAACAAATATAAATGTATTAGTATCTCAATGGGAAGTGTGGGCCTGCTTTTGGCTCATGAGATAGTATTGTTGTAATTGTTGTTGTGTGCTTTCAAGTCATTTCAGACTTGAGCGAGGGCCAGGTAAATGACCTTGGAGGGCCGCATCCAGCCCCCGGGCCTTAGTTTGAGGACCCCTGCCTTGGAGGATGATTTATACAGAGAGCTAGACAGGGGAGTTCACCCTGACTTGGCTTCGAACTGTCAAGCTTTCGGTTGGCAAGATCTACTGCAGCTGCAGTTGGTGATTAACCCACTGCGCTGAAGTTGGCCTAATCTAAATACAGTTTCTGCTTTCTGCAGAATTCTGGGGCTTGTAGTTTTTTTGGGGGGGGGGGTGTTAAACTGCTCAGCCAGGCTGGTCCTGGGCGTTACTAAACTACAAATCCCAGAATTCTGCAGGAGGTGGAAACTGAATTTAAAGTAGATCCATTGTCTGGTGTGATGAGGCTGTTAGTTACATCTTGTCTGGATTACTGTAATTTGCTCTACATGGGGCTACCTTTTAAGAGTGTTCAGAAACTTCAGCTGGTCCAAAGAGCTGCAGACAGGTTGTTAACTGGGGCTGGCTACAGGAAGTGGACAACCCCTATTGCTGCAGCTCCACTTGCTGCCAATTTGTTTCCGGGCACAATTCAAAGTGCTGGTTATGACCTTTAAAGCTCTAGAGCCTCAGGTCCAGGCTATTTGGCTGACAACATTTCCTTGTATGAACTTGCCTGGGCCCTGAGATCTTCAGGAGAGACCCTCACAAGTTCAGTTGGTGGGAACAAGACAGCACAGCCTTCCTTCTTGGTGGCTGCCCCTCAACTCTGGAACTCCATGCCTAGGGAATCCAGAATGACCCCCTTCCTGCTGTCCTCCTGATGGCAAGCTAAAACCTTTTTATTCAGGCATGCTTTTAAAGTTTTTTGAAGATCAATTCAGGGGGTGCTGTGGTTTTAGTTTTGAATATATTTGTATGGATTTAAAACAAAACTTTTTAGTACCAATCATATTTAATTCTGTTTTAATGTTTGTATATTTGTAGATTTTAATTTGCATTGAAATGCTTTTAATGTCAGCTGCTTTGAGTCTGCTTGTGGAGAGAAAAAGTGGGTGTAAATAAAGAGAAGGAGAAGGAGGAGAAGTTGTCCTAATCTCCATGTCTTCCAACATGATTCAGTCTGGTTGTCCTCCTCTGACTGTTCTGAACTGGGATTTTGTTTCACCTGACCTTTCTATTATGGGCAATACTGTATAGTTTAAAGGATCTACATTTATGGCAACAGAAAGATCAGACTAGGCACGCCTTTAAAAAATGTCAGGAAGCACCACAGGGGGCATTTTGGAGATGTATGCTGACCAAAGTGTTACTGAACAAAAAGACAGTGACTTTAAATACATCTTTGCCTACACTTCTGATCCCCTGGTTTATAAGATCTCATTTTTTTTAACCATAAGCAGTCATCAGGATTCCGGATCCTAAATGAAACTGGTTCAGAAAAGGTTTCACATGTGCTATTGCCTTCATAGCAAACATATAATAATAGTATCACAGTATTATTAGTACGCTAAACCAGGAATGGAGAGAATAAGGCTCAAATCTTAGTACGTAGCTTGAGACTGCTTCCTCTCTTTGATGGTCAAATTTGGGCTCTGGCTGGGATGTTGTACTATTCATTTTAATGTCAATTAGTAATGGGTTTTATTGATTTTAATTAGGACTTTGTTTTTGTAATATGCTGTTTTTATGTGAACTGATATTGCCATTGTCTAATATGCTGATGTGATTTTAACTGTATTTTATGTGTTTATGGCACTTGTATGTTATCCTGTAAACTGCTTCGAGTATTTTTTGGAGATGGTGGAGGGGTATAAATAAAGTTTATTATTTCATTATTATTATTTTTATTATTATTGTCTCTCAGATTAGCCCAAAGCTGGGCCACTGCCAAACTACTGGAGGGCACATTATGCACCTGGATGAATTTGAAGGTTTGGATAGACCTCTATTCTACCTTTGGTGGGCTCTGAAGTTTTAAAGAAGTTTTAAGTAATAATACAAAATTCAACTTCCCTACCTCAAGTATATCTAACCCCCACCCCTCAAGACTGTCCAGTTGAAGGTCTTGTTCCTTTCAAGGAAAAACTTGTTTTATGCCCAGGAAAGGCCTTTATTTAACATGACATCTGGTTTAGTTCCAGATTAAATGAAAGGATGTCCTAGGCCTAAAATAGCCCCAAGTTGGGGAGGAAACATGGCACACACACACACACACACACACATATCTTGGAAGGGTAATTTTGCTAAACTGGCAGGGCTGGTGTCCCCCCCCCCCCCCCCCCCCCCCCCCAATGTCAGGAGTGACTTGAGAAATTGCCAGTTGCTTCTGGTGTGAGAGAACTGGCCATCTGCAAGGATGTTGCCCAGGGGACGCCCAGATGTTTTGATGTTTTACCATCCTTGTGGGGAAGCTTCTCTGATGTCCCTGAATGAGGAGCTGGAGCTGACAGAAAGAGCTCATCCACACTCTCCCCAGATTTGAACCTCTGACCTGTCAGTTTTCAGTCCTGCTGGCACGAGGGTTTAAGCCATTGCGGCTCATGGGCTGGGGGGTACTAGGGGATCTCATAAAAGGGTCACAGCACTGCTATGAAAATTAAATGTATGGGACACCTATAACTATGGTCCTTGGAGATGGAAGAGAATAGAAATCCAGTGAATTAATTTAACATCTAATTTATCCTTTACTGAATGCTAACTATGGAAATGTTACTATGTGAAAGGGATTTAGGTGTCTTAGTAGGCCAAAAGTTGAATGTGAGTCAGCACTGTGATGCAGCAATTAAAAAGCCAATGCGATTCCAGGCAGAATTAATAGGCACATATTGTTTAGGTCAAGGGAAGTAATAGTCTCACTTTTACTCAAGAAGGAAATAGTCAAGCTAGAAGGTGTCCAGAGAAGGGCAACCAAAATGGATGCGAAGCCCTATAAGAAATGATATAGGGATTTAGGTATATTTAGCTTGGAGAAAAGAAGGTCAAGAGGGGACATGATAGCCATGTTTAAATATCTGAAAAAAGTCACATTGCAGAAGGGACAAGGTTGTTTTCTGCTGCTCTAAAGATTAAGATATGGAGCAATGGATTCAAATTGGGATTCCACCTAACCATTAGGAAGATCCTCCTGGAGTAAGAGCTGTTTGGTAGTGGAATATGCTGCCTAATAGTCCTGTGGAATCTCCTTCTCTGGAGGTTTTCAATCAGAGGCTGGATTGGACTGTCAGGAGTGCTTTGATTGGCTGTTCCAGCATGGCAGGGGCTTACACTAGATGGCTCTTGTGGTCTCGTCCAACTCTCAGATTCTATGTTTCCCAAAGGACTCTCACCCAGCAATATCCAAGTCCCTTGGGCGCCACTACCATAATAAAACAGTAGGAAGCAATGTAACTTTGCTGGCTTGAACTATTATTATTCCACTTTTAACGACCATTGTAATATTTGGTGGAGTTCTGGACTTTGCAGTTTAGTTAGTCCCAACAGTTCTTTGGCTCCAGAACCATAAATTCCAGAATTGTATACAACGTTGCCAAGCAGTTAAAAGTTTTCCAGGCCAAAGGGGTTTCACCTGTGCCCACAAACCCTCCTGTGCTTGGAGAAGAGACTGAACTGCTGTCAGCTTAATGGATATCGAACCATTTGTCAACTTGCCCAGGCACCTTTGCCTTCCCCAGATGGCGACTGCCTGCTTGCCACCAGGTTTATGTCTCAACTGTCTGGGCCTCTGGATTAACAGCCTTGACACCGTCTGTCGGAGAGCTCTGCAATTAAGAACAGCGTGAAACGGGTACGCTGTGACTTTGCATCAAGCCTCTTTGGCATCTTTTTCTTGGCGCTCCTGGGCTACGCTTTCAACCGTCACAGCAGGACTAGATTTGCGCACCAGGTCAGATGGCAAGCTGTGCAGAGCCA